CCCCACCCCCAGGGCATCAGCCATGTGTATGGGCTCCTGCTGCCGCCCGCCCTCCCCTTACGGAAGGCAGGCTGGGCTCTGGGAACCCTGTGTGCCCACTAGGGACCTGTGCTCTCACTGCTGGTTGCCCAGTTATCTTTGCAGCTGCTGACACAGAGGCAGGCAGCCAAGGTCACACCCTTCCAAGGCATTAAAAGACCCTTCCTATTTGCCCCTGAAATTCAAATGGCCACTGTGTCTCTGTTTGTCTTTCTCTCTTTCTCAACTATTTTTTTTCTGATTCTTCATTTTTGCAGGCAGCCATTTAAGATCTAGGACACTGTGGAGAACTTGCATATACCATGGAATTTAGAACATCATTATACAGGCACAGAGCAAGACGCCGTCCCAAATGAGACCGAAAAGACCTTTTCTTCACAGATCAGGTTGATCCTCATCTGTTAAAATATGGACTACAATTAAAAAAGACAACAAAAAACAAGTTTCTGTAAAAGAAGAAAATATGATCTCCAGATCTAGCACACTATTTTTATATGTTTATTTTTTTGATCATTTCTGCATCTCTGTCTTTATCCAATATACTATGTATTTATGTCTGTCTCTTTATCTGTGTGTCTCTCTTTGTATATAATTACGTGTCTTTTGAAGAAATTAAACCTTAATTTTAATAAAATATAATTTCTCATTTTACCCATAATGTGTGTTTTGTATAAAATATTTTCTTATTTTTAGAACACTGGATTTGTCTTTTCTGAAACTATTCATGTTTTCTTAATTATTTGCTTTTTAAATTTACTTGGAGGTGATATTTTTATGAGCAAAAATTGAAGTTTCACTGTTTCACTGTGGCTGAGATAAACTTCAGGTTTATCTCATTTTTCTTTCCCCCTCCAAATTTTACTATTTTAACATCCTCTATTTTTCTAAATACATATGTGTGTTTGTTTTATGTACTCTAGTGTCTTCCCAGGAACTTGTCTACCCTAAATTACTTCCTGTCTATTCTCCTGCTACTAACCCTCTTCATTAGATTTCTCTTTCACATTTCCTAAGATATATTAAGTCTGTTTTCTCACATCCTTCCTCCTCAGCATATTGTCCCTTGCCCCACCCCCAGTTCATTGTCCACCGTCAGAAACTGTAAATCTTTTTACAAAACTACTGATTACATTTTAGATAATATTTGAATCCAACATCTCTGTACATTGAGACTAAACTGTAAACGTCTTCATACAACAAATTGTGCATAGGTGTTATAGTGTTGATATTGGGATCTATTAACATTGTCTTCCCCACAAAGGAGGGATCTACTTTTGTTGTATTATTTTATTTTTGTACTTGGGTTTGAACCCAAGGGCTCTTACCCATTGAGTAACATGCCTAGTGAAAGAAAAGTGACCACAACACTCGGAGCAACCAAAAGATCTTTATTGCAGCAGTGCAACAAAGAGAAAGGAAAGAAGGAGAGAGAGAGAGAGAGAGAGAGAGCGAGCGCAAGATCAAGAGAGAGACAGAGAGCGCATGCAAGAAAGACAAAGAGAGCAAGAGAGAGAGAGCAAGAGAGAGGGGCCCTGGCAGGAGGGAGTTTTTATAGCCCAAATCTAATGGGGCCTCTGGGTCTGCAAGCTGCCTTGTTGGCCCAAGGTGGGGTTAAGTGTTCAGCCTTGAGCAGGGTTGAATGTTCAGACTTGACGCAAACAGGTGATAAAGAACCAGATAGAGGGGGGTTTGAGTGCGTGGGCTATCTTGCAGCCAACATCTGTTCAGCCTGCCCTGCAGACAACACAGTTCAGTCTGCTCTGCACCCAACACCTAGCCCTTTTTATTTTTTATTTTGAGACAGATTTTTCTAAATTGCTTAGGGTTTCAATAAGTTTCTGAGGCTGACCTTGAACTTGTGATCTTCCTACCTCAGCCTCCTGAGTCATTGGGATTATACATGTGTGCCACCATGCCCAGCATGATGGTAATATATTTTATTTAGCATTTTGCCAAAGAGTGTATTATAACTGTTCTTATCAAAGTGGATAATATAATCCAAGTGTGGTGGTGTATGTCTGTAATCCCAGCAACTTAAAAGGTCAAGGCAGAGGAATTGCAAGCTCAAAGCCAGGCTCAGCAACTTAGTGAGGCCCTAAGTAACTTAGCAAGACCCTGTGTCAAAAGAAAAAACAAAAAGGGCGGGGATGTGGCTCAGAATTTAAGCACCCGTGGGTTCAATCCTTAGTACCAAAACCAAAACCAGAAAACAAAGTTGGAATCATGGGCAACTATGAAAGATGATGGATAAGTTAATCCGTTTGTCCTAGTAACCATTTTACTATGCACCTTGATGTCTCATGTTGTCTTCCATAAACACACACAGTAAAATTACTTATTTATGATATTGAACAAAGTACTTGGATAGAGATTTTTCTAAAAGAGACATGCAAATGGCCTGCATAATTTTCCATGAAACAATGCTCAGAATCACCAATCACCAGGGAGATTTACAAAGCCATGCAGAGGTATTCCATCACAACTGTTAGGATGGGTGATTCCAAGAGACAGAGTAAGCGTTGGGAAATACCCGGAGAAGGGAGCACTTTGTGTTCTGTAGGAGTCTACATGAACTGGCAGAGCCACCATGGAAAACAGTAAGAAAATCCCTCTGAAATGGGAAAGTGAAACTTACATGTGCTGCAGCAATGTCACTTCTGGATGAACTTCTAAAGGAAAGAATTCAGTGCCTCAAAGAGACAGCTGTGTTTCTATGTTCCCGTGGCATCATCCACAACAGGAAGGACACAGAAGCAAACTAAGTGTCCATCAGGGGATGTGTGCGTATCGAAAATGTGATGTTTCTCTTTAAAAAAATGGGATATTATGGAGTCTTCTAAATAAGGAAACACTGTTGTAACATGGAGTATGGATGTCAGGTGCATTCCTAAGTTACAGAAAATAAGGAAACATATGGAAAAATACGGTAATGGAAAGAGACAAGCAACACTTGGAGATACAGCACCAGTGTGGTCTCAGTGGTGTTTTCTTCAAAGGCTGAGCACAGGGTTTAAATAACTTCCAGTTTTACAGGTGGATTCTCACAGAGCAACATTTGATAGTGAGATATTTGTGTGTTTGTGATCCAATGGTGACCTCTGCTGTTCAGGGTTACAACTGGGTGTGGGATTTTTTTTCAACATATATATTTTTTAGTTGTAGTTGGACACAATACCTTTATTTTATTTATTTATTTTTATGTGGTGCTGAGGATCCAACCCAGCGCCTGGCATGTGCTAGATGAGCACTCTACCGCGGAGCCAGTAGCTGTATCAGCAAACAGTAGCTGCCAGTACCCTAGGCAGGGCAGCCATCCCACCAAGACTGAGTCAATTTCTTTTTTTTTAAATTTTTAATATTTATTTTTCAGTTTTCGGCGGATACAACATCTTTGTGTGTGGTGCTGAGGATCGAACCGGAGCCGCACGCATGCCAGGCGAGCGCGCTACTACTTGAGCCACATCCCCAGCCCTGAGTCAATTTCTTTAGATAAATATGACACCAGACTTCACCAAGGTCCAAATTCTTGGATTAGTACTCCTGAGACCATTCCATTCTTTTCATGAACAAAGAGGTTGAAAGTCTCAGGGCTGGAGTCTCAGAGAGTTTGGCCTTGATTATCTGAAAGACCACCTCCTGGCTTGGTTCCTACGCAAGGGGGGCTTATTTCTCTCCTTTAAAGGTCTCAGACCTGGGTCTAGCCAAGTCTGAGAATCCAGGGATAGATATTCTGCAGAACCCTGCTGTTCCTAGGAATTCTTGGACTTTTCAATTTGTGGTGGGGGTAGGGAGGGCACAGACTGCATGTTTTCTCTCAGTTCCCAGCGTTCACCATTTCTGCATGATGTTAAAACCTAAGTGTTTAACCTATCTCTAATAGATCTGTGCCTTTGTCTTTGCTATCATTTTGCCTTTGTTCCTTGTAGGCACTGAGCCTGTGTTTAGCTGGCTAGCAGAAGGTCATCAACACATTGTAACAAGACCCAGTTTAGTTCTTGTCCTGGGAACACTGCTAAGTCAGCAGCTGAGGCTCCACTGAAGAGTGAGGGGAGTTTTTGAACCCTTGGGGGAGTCTTGGCTGAGTGAACTGTTCTGTCTGGCTGACTGAACTGTTCTGTCCTGGTGTGTGGATTTTCCCATTTGAACGCAAACGACTATTGGCTGACAGGTGCCACCTAGAGGCAGAAAAAGGCATCTTTTAAGTCCAGGCAAGTAAACCATTCAGAAGTGGAGGGGATTAGCCCAATCAAGGTGTTTGGGTTAGGTACTGCTAAGGGTATTGTGACTCTTGCCTCATTTATGACTCTTAAGTCCTGCTGGATGGTATTCATGGGTCCCTGGTTTCTTTAAAGGCAACAATGGAGTATTCCAGGGTAACTGACATTTTATTAAAAGTCTGTGTTGAAGCAATATGTCTAATGATCCTGGATTCCCACTTGGGCCCCTTGGGAATGGAGTTCTGTCATAATTTCACAGGCTGAGCCTCCTGTTTAAAATCAATAATGGGAGCATGATGTTTGGCTAAACGGGGGGGGGGTCCCTTTAGCTCATACCAGTGGGTATTTAACTTCTAATTCAGTAAGAATGATCTTCTCCTTTGGAATGGAGCAGTATAGGCACCATTTTTTTTTCTACTCACAGCAAGAGTAGTTCTGCTAATTCTAGCTGGGTGGGTCCATTGGCAGAGAAGGAAACTTGGGCCCCCATTTTGGCAAGCAGATCTCTTTCCATCAAAGGGATGGGCAGTCTGGTAGGTAAAACAATTCAAACATCATTTCATGGCCTCCTAACTGATATTGCTGGGGACCACAAGGGGCCTATGGGTCTGGGCACCTGTGGCCCCAATGATTGTGTTTCCTTCCCTGAGAAGGGGACTACTTGTTGGGTGACCATGGAATGTTCATTGTCTTTGTCTACCATGAAGTTCATTTGTTGACCCCCTACTCTAATTCTGATCACAGGCTCTCAGAGGCCTAATCGGAGAAAGCGCAGTCCCCCTTAGTTGGATTTTTCTCCCTGCTAGGCCAATCAGGTTGGTGCTGGGTGTCTCAGGTTGATATCAGCCTTGTGAGCCAACTGTTTCTCAGGGAGGCTAGGGCATTCATTTTTCTAGTGACCCCTTTCCCTGCAATATGCATGTTGATAGTGACCAAGGGGGTTCCTTTTTCCTTTGTGGGACCTCTTGACTGATGGGGTGGTCCTGCTGGGGGTGCAGACCTTGATGGGGCCAGCTATTTGGTCATGATTGACAAGAATTTTGTTTGCTACTTCTAGCAGCTCTGTGGCATTTCTCCCTGTGAACTCCTCTAACTTTAGTGATTTCTTCTGGATGTCTGACTGAGCTTGCCCCAACAAGTCTGCATTACTATTCATCCATCAGTGAATATGCTCTCTTCTCAGCAGCACATGACTCCTTCTCAAAGATAGACCATATCTTATGCCACAAAACAACTCTTAGTAAATTAAAAAAAAACACAGAAATAATGCTCTGCATTCCATCAGATCACAATAGAATGAAATTAGAAATCAATGATAAAATTAAAGATAGAAGCTACTCTAACAAATGGAGAGTAAATAATACACTATTCAATGATGAATGGATAGTAAAAGAAATCACGGATGAAATAAAAAAATTCTTAGAGGTGAATTAGAACACTGGTATAACATATCCAAATCTCTGGGACACTATGAAGGCAGTACTAACAGGAAAGCTTATTCATTGAATACATTCATTAAAAGAATAAAAAGTCAAAAACTAACTGACCTAACATTACATCTCAAAGTCCTAGAAAAAGAACAAATCAACACCAAAAGCAGTAGAAGACAGGAAATAGTTAACCACAGCTGAAATTGGTGAAATTGAAACAAAAGAAACAGAAATATTGACAAAACAAAAAAATTGATTCTTTGAAAAAATAAATAAAATAAACCTCTAGACATGCTAATGAAGAGAAAAAGGAAGAAAACTCAAATTACTAAATTATGAGATGAAGAAGGAAATATCACAATGGACATGTTTGAAATACAGAAGATAATTAGAAAGTATTTTGAAAATTTATACTTCAATAAAATAGAAAATATCAAAGACATTGATAAATTTGTAGAGACAAAAGACTTACCCAAACTGAATGAGGAGGTCATACATTATTTAAACAGATCAATTTCAAGTAATGAAATAGAAAACACAATCAAAAGCCTACCACCCAAGGAAAGCCCAGGACCAGATGAATTCTCAGTTGAGTTTTTCAAGACTTTCAAATAAAATTGACACCAATACTCCTCAAAGTATTCCATGAAGTAGAAAAGGAGGTAACCCTTCTAAACTCATTCTATGAGGCTAAGATCACCCTGATATCAAAAGAAGACAAAGACACATCAAGGAAAGAAAACTTCAGACCAATATTCTTGATGAACATAGATGCAAAAATTCTCAATAAAATTCTAGCAAATAGCATAAAAAACATATTAAGAAGATAGTGCACCATGATTGAGTGGGGTTCATCTCAGGGATGCAGGGTTGGTTCAACATATGGAAATCAATAAACATAATTCATCATATTAGTAGACTTAAAAACAAGAACCAGATGATCATCTCAATAGATGCAGAAAAATCATTTGACAAAATACAGCACCCGTTCATGTTCAAAATACTAGAAAAAGTAGGGATAGTAGGAACATACTCAACATTATAAAAGCTATGTTAAGCCCAAGGCCAGCGACATTCTAAATGGAGAAAAATTGAAAGCATTTTCTCTAAGAACTGGAACAAGACAAGGCTGTCCTCTTTCACCACTTCTATTCAACATCATCCTTAACCCTAGCCAGAGCAATTAGACAGAAGGAAGAAATTAAAGGGATACAAATAGGTAAAGAAGAATTAAGACTATCACTATTTGCTGATGACATGATTCTCTACCTAGAAGATCCAAAAAATCTATATAACTAGTAAATGAATTCAGCAAAGTGGAAGGATATAAAATCAACACCCACAAATCAAATGCATTCCTATATATCAGCAATGAATCCACTAAAGAAAAATGAGAAGAACTACCCCATCACAATAGCCTCAAAAAAAAACAAAACAAAACAAAACAAAAAAACCCTGGGATTTTGTTACCTTTGTTAGAGACAAAAGACCTACCCAAACTGAATGAGGAGGTCTAACAAAATAGGTCTAACAAAATCTAACAAAAGAGGTGAAAGATCGCTACAATAAAAACTATAGAACATTAAAGAAAAAAATTGAAGAAAACCTTAGAAGATGGAATGATTCCCCATGCCCATGGATAGGCAGAATTAATATTGTCAAAATGTCCATACTACTAAAAGCATTATACAGATTTAATGCAATTTCTATTAAAGTCCCAATGAAATTCTTCATAGAAATAGAAAAAGCAATCATAATTATTTGGGAAAAATAAGAGACCCAGAATAGTCAAAGCAATCCTTAGCAAGAAAAGTGAAGCAGGAGGCATCACAATACTAGACCTTAAACTATACTATGTAGGTATAGTGACAAAAAGGGCATGGTATTGGCACAGACATGTAGACCAAAGGTACAGAACAGAAGACACAGAGACAAACCCACATAAATGCAGTTATCTCATACTAGACAAAAGTGCCAAAACATTCAATGGAGGAAAGATAGCCTATTCAACAAATGGTGCTGGCAAAACTGGAAATTCGTATGTAGCAAAATGAAATTAAACCTCTCTCTCTCTCACTCTGCACAAAAAGCAACTCAAAGTGGATCAAAGACTTAGGCATAAGAACAGAGACCCTGCACCTAATAGAAGAAAAAGTAGATTCAAATCTTCACCATGTTGGCCTAGGATCTGAGTTTCTTAACAAGACCCTTAAAGCAAAAGTAGTAAAATCATGAATCAATAAATGGAATGGATTCAAACTAAAAAGCTTATTCTCAGCAAAGGAAACAATCAATAATTTGAGGAGAGAGCCTACAGATTGGGAGAAAATCTTTACCACATGCGTCTCCTATAAAGCATTAATCTCTAGAGTATATAAAGAACTTCAAAAACTTAACACCAAAAAAAAAAAAAAAAACCCAAATAACTCAATCAGTAAATGGGCTAAGAAACTGAACACACACTTCACAAGAAGAAATACATTCAATCAACAAATATATGAAAAAATGTTCAACATCTCCAGCAATTTGAGAAATGCAAATCAAAACTGCTCTAAGATTTCCTCTCACTCCAGACAGAATGGCAGTCATCAAAAATGTAGGCAGAGACTCAACATGGTGGCGGGCGGGAAGGCAGCGCTTTCAGTACCTCCTCAACCACGTGGACAGAGAGATGCATTAGAACGTTCAGATTCTACCTGCTGAGAAACTCCTAGCAAAATTCCGCTGAAGTGAGACCTGCTGGGGAATTTTGGGATTATTGGAGGTGACAGTTTGCCCCAGATGGGTGAATCTCTGCCATGTGGTGCGGTGGTCCAGGCCTGTCACCGCTGCCTGGCGACCAGCACAGTAGGAGGCGGTTCAGCACAGCGTGGCATAGAGACCCTATGAAGAGGTTGCTAACCAAGCCTTCATGAAACAGTGAACCAGAACTGAAACCAACTCAGACTGGGACAGACCAGACACAGGCCAGACCCACCCCTCACATCGGACACTCCGGCAAGGAGTCTGGGGCCCGCCATAGCAGAGAGCCTACGTCACCAGAGTTTGGCGGACGGGATCCCTTCCCAGCGGAATTGACTTTAGCAGGTGTGTGACTCCTACCCCCACCAGATACATACAGCTGGGAAACCTCAAAAATCTTGCCCCAGAGCTCCGTGGGTGTGACTGTGGGGGCCGAGGGAAGCAGAGGGGACTCCCGATCCCCAACTCCTCCTACCACCAGTGGTGACACCCAAGGCCTTAGCCGCCAGTTCCCTGGGTCGTGGCCACCAAAGGGGTCTGGACAAATTAAACTGTCAGTTCCCAGATCACCGCTCCATAGCCCTGGGGTTTGGATGAATGACAGAGAGAGTGCTCAGTTGTTTGTGAAATAGGGCATGCAGTAGGGCTGCAAGTGTAACCAGATCCTTGGAGATAGCCTCCGGTGAGCGGGGTTTGTCTGGCTGGCAGGAGGAAGGGGGGAGGGGCCGGATAAGAGAAATGGCTCTGGACTAACAAGATTAGAGAGATGACCAGTAGGGGAAGAGGAGTCCCCTTACAGGGATTGCTGCCTGCCCAGAGAGGGCAGAAGCTCGGCTCGGAGGGCACAGCTCCACCTACTGGAAGAGAAGAAAATAGAACTCTAAGATTTCATTTATCTTTTTTTTCTTCTTTCTTTCTTTTCCCTTTTCAATTTTTATTGTTCTTTCCATTCTCCTCTATTCTACCTATCTTTCTCTCCCTCTTTCTCTTTAAGGACTCCTTCCTTCCCCTTCCCCCTAACTTTCATCCCAAGCATTATATCTTTCATTACGTGTAATTTTCTAAATGCAAATAGATGATTGTTTCAAGGGTGTCTATAGGGCTCCTAAATACCTAGCTATTACCAAATACCCTGATCCATTCACCTGTTAATATCCCCCTTCAGTAGAGCAATCTTCCAAAGTAGCCAAGACATACTAACCTTCATACCATCATAGCACCCAACCTAAACATAAAGTCCTAAGACCAAACAAGAGATCACTATATGCATACAGAATCCATAAGCCTTTTATGAATCAAATGAATCAGCTTTAAATTACAATAAAGCCCAACATCTCTAGGCATAGTCTCCCACCACAAAGGAGAGACCACAGAGATATACAAAACCAAAACAAATTTATAGGAGAAAACAGAAACACAGCAGTTAAACATAGTTGGAAAGTAACGTGAACACCATGAAAAAACAAGGGGAAAAAAGGATTACAAACAATGCAGGACAACTTAAATTTACAGGAGAACCTAGAGGCATCAGAAAAATGGACAGAGAAAGAACTCAAGGCATACCTGACTCAGATGGAATGGAATCTTAAAGAAGTCATTAGACAGCAAGTCCA